GTTGACCAGCTGTGTGACTCTGAATGAGGTACTAACTTCTCTGTGCCCCACTTTCCGCATAAGATAAACAGGGCTGACAGCTGCACCGACCTCACGGTGTGTGGTGGATTCTACGGGATAGGGGGCGGCGGGTTGGGGGGTTGGGGTTGGAGCCAGAGTGGGAGCTGTGTCCTCTGGCTCACTGTCTTTAATAGCAATCCGTACACCTACTCTGTGCCTCCTAGAAGGCTGTTAGGTTGTTATTATCACCCCCTTTACAGATGAGAAAACTGAGGCTTGACTTCCTAGGGCCACATAAAAAGCACATTAGCCCAGGTCTGTCTGACTCCAGGGCCCAGTTCTGACCACCAAGCCAAGAGGCCTCCCTATCGGCTGCTCTGGCCAGCCTTGGCATCTCATCTTCCAGTTCCCTGGACCTGGAGCTGGTCCTCTTGTGATAGTGGGATGGCTTCTGCCAGCACTCAGAACCTTTCAGGGCATTTCCAAACCAACGAGAAACAGGGTGCTTTTTTCTTTTCTTCTCTTTTCTTCTTCTTTTTTTTTTTTTTTTTTTTTTTTTTTTTTTGAGACAGAGTCTCGCTCTTGTTGCCCAGGCTGTAGTGCAGTGGCACAATCTCAGCTCACTGCAACCTCCGCCTTCTGGGATTCAAGCGATTCTCCTGCCTCAGCCTCCCAAGTAGCTGAGATTACAGGCGCCCACCACCATGCCCAGCTAATTTTTTTTTTTTTTGTATTTTTAGTAGAGACAGGGTTTCACCATGTTGGCCACGCTGATTTCAAACTCCTGACTTCGTAATCTGCCTGCCTTGGCCTCCGAAAGTGTTGGAATTACAGGCACGACCCACTGCACCCAGCCAGCGTGCTTTTTCAAAGGACTAAAGATTGTAAAATGTCGATCCAGTGGAAAGTGCTTTGGCCATTTGGAGTTTTCCTTCCTTCTCTTCTCCTTCTTATCCTCCTCCTTTTTCTCCTCGTGTATAAGAATAAAGATGCCTAATGGGTATAGTACTTTACCATTTACAAATATTTTCCCTGACCTTCTCCAACAATACTTGAGCATAGATGGTTGCTGTCATCGACTCTGCTTGGTTGCAATGCCTCATATGCCCCAGTCAGATACAGAGTTGGGGGCTCTCAAGGCAGAAAAGCATGACCACTGCATTGCTAGACACAGATGGGGTTCAGGACACACTACCCCAAACTTATAACTGTAGGAGACCAGAATAGGCCGCCCAAAATATGCCTCCTTGGCATAAGAATAATTTTGAGCTGGTTACTTTGAGAAACTGCAGACTCAGGAGAAGCTCTAAGAACAAAAGGAAAACTTACCCCTTGGAAAGAGAAACTTACATCTTTAAAAGAAATGATATGTCAGGGTGTCTCCCTGTCTGCACCAGGAAGAGAAAGATGTCTCTAATCACTAGAAACACTTACCAATGGAGAAGGCACAAACTTCAGTCTGCAAGACCAACTTTCCCCTTGTTGACTGAGCTTTTCCTGCCCAGATCCCCACAGCTGGGCCTTCTTTCTTTGTTTCAGTTGAAGATGGCATTTAAACCTGAACTCAAAGTCATGGATTTTGGAGATTTACTCATTTATCTGAGTATTTCCCAAGTGTGCATGACGTATAAACATTACTAAATTTCTATTTGTTTTACTCTTCTCAATCTCAAGATTGTTTTGGGGGTCTACTCTACCTCAGGAAGGCTAGAAAAAATTACCTTTCCACTCCTATAGCCCTTATCAAAAGCAATGTTCAGGATAACTTCAGGCAAGAGACAGGAACCCAGCCAATTTCTGAGGCCTGCCCACCCCAGCCTCCCCATCCCTCTCCTCCCTGGAGTCCGCTGCTGTCAAGTGGGCGTTGTGAAAACACTTTTATTCTGTTTCCTCTCTACTTCCCTTTCTTGACCCTGTCTCCCTCTTTTCTGATCATCTGTCAGGGTAAATGTTTTTATTACCTGGTCACTGAAGTGCCTGCTGGCCAGGGACCGGGGCAGACTCAGAGCTCAAGCCTCTGGACACCCATTCTCCTGTTCCTTCCCTGATCCCCCACAGCCTCAAACATTCCCTGGGAAGCTGAATGCCCAACAGTACCTGACTCATCTTGCCCCCAAGCTCGACATTACCATCACCATCTGCCTAGATCCTGGAGGAGAAGACAAGCCCACATTGGCCGGGAAGCAGCCCCACGGATGCATTAGCAACCTGTTTCCTCCCATAGCTTTCTGCTTTCATAATGGAGGCCATCCCCAGAGCCCCTTCCTGAACTCAGCCCTAGCAACAGCAGATCCCCAAGTGGCTGGTGCCTCCTCCATTTGAATTAAGACCCCAGCCTCAGAGCTCTGGAAGAGGGCTCCTGGCACCTCTGATTCTCTAAGCAGGTGTCCTGAAACTGTCTCACTTACATACATGCACATTCTCCAAAGATAAAGATAACACTGACTACAAACAACTGAGGACTCTGCCTGAAGTAAAAGCAATCAAGTGACAAAGCACTGGAGCTTCAAAGAGGTAGGGCATGGTCCCCAGGCTGGGCCAGAAATAGCCCTGATCTGCTGCCCTCACTGGATCCTAGGACTTTGTCCCTTGGGCTGTGCCCCCTCCCCTCAGCCTCACCTGCCTGCTTGTAACCAGGCATGACAGAAAGAGCCTTGGCTCTGGGTTCTGCCACTCCATCACTGCCAGCTGTGTGCCCTGGGAAGCCACTTTACCTCTTTGAGCCTGGGTTTCCCCATCTATAAAATGGGGACAACAATCCCATTTCACTGGGTACTGGGGTGGGGGAGGGGAGATCAAATGAGAGACTGTTCATGAAAATGCTTTGTATATTAGAGGATTTTTTTTTCCAATGTAAAGAAGGCCAAAAATAAGGCCTGATGACTAAACTAGCATATGAACTATCACATTCTGGGGGTGGGGAGTGTCTTCCTTGGAAGTGATGGAAATTTGCATTGAGTGCCTGGCATGGATCACCTGACTTAATGCTCCCGCTAGTCCTAAGCCGACCCTGGGATTCAGAGAGGTTTAGTAATTTTACCATTATCCCGCAGCTCGTAAGTCTGGAGCTAAGCCCCTTCCTCTCCTTGGCTGGGGGGCTTTCTGACAATTTAGGGTGCTAGTCTCCAAACTCGCCTGCTGGTGGAGCTTGTTAAATGATCCATTCTGGATTCCCAGTCTGCACCCCTTGAATGATGGATTGTATCAATCCAGGTATTTATTGAACACAAATTATGTGCCCATTATGAGGGAAGAGCAAACAAAGTAGGTATAGCACCACCCTTAGGGAGTGGGGAGTAGCAGCAACCCTCCTGGGGAGAGGTCCCCAGAATCTGGATGTGTACCCAGAGACTTATATGATCAGGCCAGTGTTTGGGGAATGGAGGTTATAAAATGAGAGGCTGGGGCAGGGAGTGGGGATGCTCTGAGAACCTGTCCACACTACTGACAGCCTCGATGGGCTCTGTGGCACTCTTGAGCCCTGGGGTGGCAACTGCAAGGATTTACTATCCATGGTCACAGATCTTCAGGCCCTGTGAAGCATCTAGA